CCTCAATTTTTTTTCTTGCCTGAATTAGTATTCTAAAGTATACATTTCCATTAAACTTTAGTTAATAAAAATAAACATCAAAGTTTTCTATCCTCGCAAATTTTAGTAAACTGTTTATTATCAACACATTATACAGATTTTTACTTACAATTGAAAAAAATAGGTTTAAATATAGTTATCAACGTTTTCGAGAACTTTTCGGTGAGAAAATCTTGAAACAAAATACACTTATATTTAGGTTTGTTACTGTTTTCAACGAATTTGAGCAAGCATAGTTCAAGCCACGATAAGTCAGCGGTTTCTGAAAAACAGCAGACTTATTTGGCAACACAGCTGTCAATATAAACAATTAATACTGACAACGCTATTCACTTAATGCAATAGAAAGAACTGTAGGCTTTAGTTTTCAATTACTCTGTTAATTTCATGTTTGAATTTTGAATACCGTTACACACATTATCCCTACATATTAATCATTAACGTTTGTGAGAGGATCATATGAAATTATCGTATGAATGAGCGAGACAGACAAACTTCATTACATCCGTTATTTCCTCAATTCGTGTTTGGAATAACACTAATTGTGTTGTGACGTGTGGAAAGTTTAAGTGATCGGTGCCAATACTGTCCGCCGATTACTCTATAAGTGAGCATGTACACAGCGCACGTCACACAGTCACATAAATACATTGAAGTGACTGCTGATGTGTGACACCTGGGTGTTTTGGCGTCTACTGTTATTGCACATTACATAGCCTTTTTATTTTTAAACAAAACATCTTAGAACGAGTTTTAATGCTTTTAATAAAAACAATTTTGCATGTCGTAGCCCATACACGTTTTCTTTGCAAAAATGTAGGTTACTTGTATGAGGAAAAAAAAAACGTTACTTCTTTAATTCTCTTAAAATAGTTACCGAATTCTAAGGAACGTTTAATTAGTTTCTTATTAATATAAAATATTTTTTTTAATCTGAAGATATTAAAAAATATTCTTTGGAAATCTCAAGTTTCATTCATTTAAAAGCAGTCAAAAGATTTTTTTTGCAAAAAAAAAAAAAACAATTTTAAAAATTATTTAAAACTGTTGCCCGCTTATCCGCCCGCATATACATATATTGGTATCGGTAAAAAATTGCCTATGTTACTTATTGATAATGTAGCTTTCCATTAATGTAGGATTTTTTTAAATCGGTTTGGTGGTACAGGCGTGAACGCCTAACAAACAAACAAACTCACTTTCACAGTTATGGTATAAGTACTGATCTAAAAGGCTTCTGAAGGTCCCAATCCAAGGTCTTTAAGCAAGTTATAGAGGGATTTAGCTTGTATACCCCTCTCACCTCATTTTCATTTATTTCGTTGGTTAAGTCAAAGTACTTGTTTCTTTTGTAAGTGTGGTCTTTAGGGAGGTTTGTTTCCCACGGCACCATGAATTCTACGAGTACTACCCGCTTCATTGACATTAAAGAAATATGTCTGGTCTAGACGCTGAGGCACAGATAACCTCCGGTATCCTGTAATGATTTTCATACGTGTCCACTAATAATGTCCAGTCACTGGTTTTTAAAATGGAGTCCGGCTTTTGTGAAGTTTTTTTGTTGAGCCTTCCTTTACAAACTTGATGTTAGGCCTTTTGTTTGTTGTCATTCGTTTTTTTGTTTGTTTGTTTTGTTGTTTCTTCTTTGTTTTTCTTTGCTTTCGCCAGTGATAAACTCATACTCGTATTGATTGATGATTTGAATACCCTATCATGGCGACGTGAGTAATGACCCGGTCTAATAGTGTCTTAAGTGCTTTTCTGTGGATTTTCCCAACCTTACTAGGTTGCTTTGATCGCGGAGAATTACTTTAAGAAGGCAAGAAAGAAGGCATTGAGGTAAAAAATTTAATAGGGACTAGGGGACCTAGGAAATAGGTGACCAATCGTTTCAAAGCTGGTGGGATACAAAATTCTCCTAGAGTCAACCATTCATTCTGCATTTCTAGGTTCATTGCGTGCACCTTGTAGATCTCGTTTTTCATATTTTTGTAGGAAAGATTTTGTTATGTCTTTGTCGGTCTAACATTTCCCAATGTAACTCTACTGGACTGCGTACCGTCCATGAATTTCTTGTGGAATACCGCGATATACTACTAACCCTATCTATGTACATCCCTACGTAAACATGCAATGAAAGAGAACTCGTAGTAGCGAACACAGTCCAACAATAAATACATTAAAACCGTTCGTCGACACTGTCTATCGTAATACATCACTTAGCACAAATAAACAATCAGAAGTATTTATATGCCAGTCGGTTTGACGCCAACGCTGTGTTTCACACTCCTTTGTTTAAAGGTTGTGTGAATATTTCATCAATAATAATAGCTTGGAACATCTATTATAAGATTTGTAGCCTAATTATTTGAGAATTACTTTAAAGCTTTGGTTATTTTTCGTTTTCTTTTTTTTTTCATTAATTGTTTTCTCTCAGATTGGCGTTCAAACGCGTATTCCGATAGGTACCTAATTTAAAATAAAATATTTTATTTGATTTGTTAATAAAATTCCATTAATTATTATAATATGTTTATTATTTGTTTTCCCTCAAAAGATTATATATTTAACAATGGGTGAAAATCATAACACTCTTTTTCCCAGTAGTGGGGTGATAATAGGACAAAATAATAAGCCGTACACACAAATACAGATAAAATAAAAATAATACAAAAACAAATTTTAATCGTTATTCGTAATTTATAGCAAAAGTTTTTAATCTCACACAAGCAATACCCAGCGCCTATAAGTCCAGGTAATAATCTATCATTATACCAAATTTTATCCAAATCCGTCCAGACGTTTCAACGCGAAAAATAACACATAACACACGGTACATGGCGTGGGATAAGTCAACGAGAACGAAAGAAAACAAACTTTCGCTTTTATAATATTAGGGAGGTTAGTATGCGTAGTTGGCCCGGGGTCCGTCGGGGTTCCAGAGATTTCCTTCCTAGTGTACCTTCCTAGTACACCTGGTTCCCCGAGACGGCTTGCGGTTTTTGGTACGTTCATGTCCGACATAACCACCGATGAGCAGACTGTTCATAGCGAGAGTTAGGTGTTGAGCATTGACACAATGCTCATCATATCCTCTGGGAATGTAGTCTCTGCTATAATGAACGTAATATAATGCTGAATAGCTTGCAGGTGACATCTGGGGCGGTATACTATGGGGATCTTGTGTCAACTAGGGTGAATTTCCGTGCGTTTAGGCGATTCTGGCATACATATTATAGAAATCAAATATAGCTCACGTAGGACCCGTAATATTTTGTGGCCGTGGTGCTTCCCTGTTTAAAAGGGTGTATGCCCATTTTCATTTTGTCTCCCTCTTTGCTAAGGAGGGAAGTGGATTTACTGTATTTCCAACTCCTTCAATTTTCTTCTGATTAATTTCGTTGCGGGTTCCAAGACAGTTTAATTTCTTCCTGGGACTTCCCGAGTGTCATAACTTGGTGTGTTCGTGGGTCACTGCTGTGGATCCTGGTGTACAGGAGTTACAGTGGTGGGCGTGTGAAAAAAAAAAATAACCACCGATGGGTGGTGTCCGAAAGGATTTTCGCACAGGTAAAAAAAAAAGGGCGGTTAGTACGATTTTAATATGAGTAATATTTTTGCAATAGATATAAGTATCAAGATGGTTCATAAAATTAATCTTAAAAATAAAAACTTACTTGCACGAAAATTCTGAATACGTCACTTACATCCTACACTTAGTGTGAGATAGCTAAACTAAATAGTAAATCGACACAGAACGATGCCAGTAGTTTTGCTATTATTTGGTAAATGAGAAAAAGTGAAGTGGGCGGAGCTTAACGCCCCCTTACCCCGCAAATATTCACGCGTTCTTTCATAGGAAAATCTAATTACAACACCTCTTTGTATTTGCTCCGTGATTGTTAACGTATCAACATAATAACCCCACACGCTCCTCATAACATAAAAGGAGTCTTCACTTACATAGAGAGTGACGCTCATCCTAATACCGCAAAATAACCTTTACAGGAAGGCTTATAACAATGACGAACGGAAACCCTAAAAGTATTTTTTTCAGCTTTATTAAATTATAAAGAGAGAAAATCCGATTTTAAGTTTACAACACTTTAGTAGAAAGTGTGTCGAGACATCAATTGGCAAGGTTATTCTGAATAACCTTCAATTTTCCCTTTTAAATTTTGTTTGCTTTTGGTGTCTGAAACTCGTGTTTTTGTACTATCTACTGTGAATACTAATATTCAATGAAATCAAGTACCATGACCTACTCTGCCGTTCCTAAGCGATTAACCAATTTATTGAACACGCTTTTGCTGTAGATTTATGTTCTGAATACTCCACCATAGCTTTCCATTGAGTCAAATACTCTTCTAGTAGATGCAATAGTGCTACAGTGCTTCTCTACTAGACTCGTAGTTAGGCTGAGATTCTTAAATATTGGAGTATTACTAAGCAAATTGGAAAATAATTCTTGAATCCCTATCTTTAAAACAATGGTATACATCATGCTGCAACTACGGTAATGCTTTTTGAACCGTAAAGTCCTAAAATAGTACACCAACCAACCCTAAATCATAAACTGATCATACCCATACAAAATTTGTCTTTAAGAAAATGACGTGTGTAATGATAGCTTTAACTATTATGTCCAAACGTGTATCTGTTTTATTTAATTGTGTATAAAGAAAAATAAATAGGGTTAGGTTTGGTAAAAAAATCACTAGAGTTATATACGACAAATGACCAAAATAATCACAAAAGTTCAATAAAAGTAATTGTACAGCAATGTCGGCCTCTTTAGTTACGGGTTAACCATCAGATTTATTGCCTGCTTGCTAATTTCTTCAGAAATATGTCACAAAAATAAGAAATAATAATAAATACCATTCGGAACTGAATATTTAAACATCAATAAGTAAATAAACATCAATAAATAATTGACACTTTGTTTTGTTTGTTTGCAGATGCACCATCCCATTCAGATGAAGCCGGCTGACAGCGAAAATAGAAATGGTAAGTGTGATTAACTGTTCAATACACATGATTTAATCCTCTTCTAATCTATTTTTCAGCACTTGATGTACGATAGGACAGTTCATTTATTTCGATACATTGTAATTAATTCAGTAGGTATGTAGAAAGAATATAAAGAAAAATATTGATTCGTTTTTCCATTTAGCATTGATTACCTTTATAAGTAACACCTTAAACTATATTCGTTGTATGTATATGAGTTACAAAGACGGTTATTTAAAATGACTTAATAAGCAAGTAAAACAACTATTTTATGTTTAGTTTGTTTTAACAATTGTAGTAATTGCATGAGTTGAAGGTATAAACATGCTTATCACTGCGCTCCACGCTGCAGACTTGCGAGGTAAGAGATGTTTAGGAGTGAAATCTTCGCTTACCGAAATGACACACGTGCTTACTAAAATGTCAAACTTTAAATAAGGACTAAGCGCTTATCTAAGTTTGTGCTTAAATATTTTACTCTTTCACAGTAAGCAAACGCACAGTTAAAAAAAACTTACATGGTAACATCTCATTCTTACTTTATTCTTTTTGATTTAGTTCCAAATCAACATTCTTTGGAAGACGATAACAATTATTAAAGTTATAACAGAACATTCATATGTTATTGAATTGAATTCTTTCCATTTAAAACGTAATGTAATATAACAAAACTTACGTTTGAAATAAATAACAAAGTGAAGTTGTTGTTTATTTCACTTGTTGTTGAGTATAAATAAAATTAAAGTTAAATAATTTGTTAAATAAGTTAATTGTTTAAAGATAAAACTAATTGTTTAAAGATTATATGTACCTGGACATCTATTATTTAGTACAAAAATATTTCTTTGGTTTTCCCTTTTTTGTATTTAGACCACTAACTATAAATTCTGAATTTCATTACTGTTATTGATAAGAAAAAAGGGTTTATTTCCAATTTTAAAAGATTACAATAACGAAACTGCATTGAAATACATTTTAATGTACTTAAGTATTGAATTGAAGCTCCGCCATGGCATACTTACAGAATATATTACACTACCATTAAAATTGCCCTAGTTGGGATAAACAAATTTTATGTTTCTATTTCCGTAAATATAATAATGTTACACGAATAAAAAAACACGTGATCTTAAGATATTTCTTCGGCATATAAGATTGGGCTTGAACCCCTTATCTCTCAAGAACGTCACCTAGTTAATTGATGGCTCCAAAGATACAAAAAGTACCAGCAGGCGTTTACATACCATTGTACAATGTTCAGGTAACTGTTCAACAAACATTTTGATACATACACTTGACTTTTATCATAAGTAATGGAATATTAATTAGAAATGTATTGAATGATTGCCCCATTAGGGACTTTTTAATGTAATTGATTTATCATCATCGATGGCGATGACAAGCAATTAGATTTAACGATGAATGATTTATGACTCGTTTAACCTCTGATTAAATTCTTATTCATTAAATCATATACCTAGGTAATAGCTTCCATAATGTGCCGTAATTCCTACGAGCGGTAAAAAGTTGTAATAATAAATTTTAGGTATTGGTATTTAAGTACATCTAATAAATTTATCGCGGAGTCAGCTTTACTTATTTTATTGCAAAAACATATTTACGGAAGGCTTCGTTTGCTACCAACTTTCACATCAAACTAAGATTTTATTTGTGGCCATTTCCGGACAAATCCCAACGTTTTATGTACATACACATTAAAATAATAATTTCTGCAAGTCAGCTTTATTCTTACTTTCTTCTATCTAAAATTTTATTTGCACAGTGATGTGAAGTAAAAAATTGATTTTTATTTCATCGTGTTTTATTGATTCCGACAAAGTGACGTTACAAAATCCATTTTTCTTGTAATTTCAAATCATTTTTTTCCCAAAAGTAGATCGGATAGGGATAAAGTAATCACCTGCCAATAATATTATTCGTCTTATAGTTCGTAAAAGCATTACGGTAATATGACAATAGTAGCTATTTTTAACTCACATTCGACCAGTGTGTTTACCTAGCCGATGTTTAGCTAAATATTGATAAGGACAAACTCAAGGACTGCACACGCAAAGCTTGACAAATTGATTCAACAGTTGCCTACCTATTACATTAAGGTTCAGTACACATTGTGCTATTATGTTCAACGACTTGTTGTAAAAGGGGACAGTGAGTAAACAAAGCGCAATTTGTGCGGCGGCCTTTATTCCCCTGAATGCTTACTCAAGATGGTAATTGACCTTACAACGGATAATGTGTATGTTCTATAAGTGTACGAGGGGATGTAAATGGCTACTTCTGTTTCGGCGGAGAAATGGTCAGCGGGGTACAACACTTCACGACATACATTTTGGCGCTAGGCGATAATTATCAGATTTGTTTTACGTCATCAGTGAAGAGTCGAGAAGACTTGACTTGAAGACTACTTGTTGTAGTGCAAAACACTGTTTAGAAATACTTTATGACCAATATTTCTGAAAGTATTACCAGAACAGGTAGTTCTTTTTTTCTCATATTTTAAATCTCATTTTGTATCATTCACTTTTAAATACTATTTTTATTCATTGTAAACCTTGTAATTGTTAAAATAAAATGTTCAGATTCAGAAGAAGATAGCAGATACATTTCCCGTTCAGTAGAAAAATTTGTTTGAATATGACATTTCGATTAGTGTGTTTTTAGGTATATGTATTTACAAAAAAATATGTGTATGTGTATGTTTATCTGTATTCCAGAAACGAATGCTAGAACTTGTGTTTACGTTTGAAAAGAAATGGGGCTCTAAAAGTAATGTGCCTCTTGGTTTTTCGTCATATATCACTATAAACCTCTTTTTTTTTCAATCTTCTTTCATTTCATAGCATTTAGGTATTACACTTAAATATTAACCAGCCAGGTATTGCAATAAAAGCTACTACAGCCAAAATATAAAACAATGTCAAGTCATTATTACAGACTTATTGAACACTATCAGCTTAATGACAAAAGTCACTTTCTCCCACAGACTGTTACCGTTTATGAAGGTTCTTACTTTTATAGTTGCACTAGAGGCTAATCGGTCATTGTTACTGTCATTCAGCCACCTTCTAAATCTACAGATCTATCCGTTTACTGATATCTGAATTAATAGCTATTTATCATACTCATAGTAAAGAAGATATTCTATCAAAATATTAAATATGAGATACCGGTCTAGTAGTTAAATATAATAAAATAAACATGGAAGCAAAACTTACACATTTAAAAATATTCAGTAGTTATTTAAAAATACACATTTTTACACTCACACGTTACACCCAGACGCAGCAGAAATGATTGTCATGGGTGGCAGTTGAACCCACGACCTCCGGTTCAGCAATCATGATCTCCAACCACTAGATCAACAGGCCCGTGAAATTGAAATTTAGATTAAAGTAAAACGTATGTATAGTAGTACCATTACTAACAGAAAAATCTTTCTAAAAATTTTGACTATAATTTCATTATTTTTATGATTTTTGCTTTTCTAAATTATTTTGTCAATATCCTTTAGCAACTGCCTTAACTCTGATAACATCATTATCACTTTTGTATCAAGAGAGAGTTTCTCAAAGATGTGTTAAAAGCTTTTGAGCTAATTTTCTTTACTGGTTTATTTCGAATTCGCTTTCGCTAACACAGACTTAAGTCATATAAAACAAATGTGTTTATTCAAACTTTCGACGCAGTTGGTCAAATATATTCTCAGCCCGCGCCCTTTTTGTGGTCATCTATATATTTCACTTTATATCGTAATACATAAACCTATTATCTGAATTTCATTTCTTTTTTTAGCTAATCTATAACTCTTAGTCAATATAATTGATATTTGATGGCCTGAAGAAAGGCCCTCGAGAAATTGGGCCCTTTTCTGCCATATTTGTCTTGTTCTGTGAGTTTAATAATAATATAAACATTTTATAATCCTACTATAAAAACTTTATATTCATGGTATTTTTCATGGTGGGTGTCGTAAAAGCCGACTAAGCGACAAAAATACGCAGGATAGCAGCACTGGAAAGAAAAGGAAAACTTATTAGAAACCCTATACCAACCCGTCAGACGGGTTGGTATAGGGTTAGGTTAGGGTTTAGAAAGGGTGTCGATTATAAGGAGAGGCCTATGTCCAACAGTGGACTATGGAAGGCTGTTAATGATGATGATATGGTATAGGTGGGCAAACGAGCATAAGCGTCACGTAAGGACTACCGCCGCTCTCACTCCTCATAGACACCTGCCACTAAAGCCACTCACGCCCTGATTCTGGAGGAAGTCCTCCCCCTGAATCTGGTAACCTGGCTCACTGGTGTTAAACAACTAAAGAATCGCTTATTTATGCACACCGGTTTAGTTTAATCTAGTTATAATTTCAATTTCTCTGATTATATAGTCGGCAGAACTCATCATGTACTTTTAAAATGGTCCTTTGAGCTTGCATTGAAAAATATTTCACTCAAATCTCTGTCGCAAAATGTGTTGCGGGCCTTATTACACAAACAAACAAAACACATTGACACGTGGGATCGATACCTCGACGGCTTGCCTACACGCTTGTCTTATGTGTTATACAGTACATTTGTTATTTTTTAATACTATTCGTTGATAAATATACAGAATCATTCGAAATCACGTATCGATTTGTTGTAACACTACCTGTGTTGTTATAGAAATGTATGCATGCCCTGACTGGATTTAGAAATAACGACATATAAAATATATGTCCTTAGATACACAATAAAATAATTTATTGTTTATTAAAGGTCAAACCTCACTAAATTGATGCCTTACTTACCAGTTAAATATAGTAAATACTTCTTTTTCTTTTTTTTTAGCATCGGTCGGTAAAATAATACGTAAGTTAAACACTGTGATCGATACCTGTGTTATTATTAGATGTTTTTAGAAAATTTAAGTAGAACTGTGCCATTATTTCACTTTACCGAAAATAGCAAAATATACTAGCCAGCTTATTTCAAAAAACACCATCTATAAATTTGACAAATATAGTCCAATGTAATTAAAAAAAATTACCAAATATATAAACTAAAATATGGCATTAAACTCTACAGATTTTGGAGTAGATTTTTTACCAACATAATTAAGTACCATTAAGAGCGTGTAGTGGAACCATTCAATAAATCAATATGTAAAGATTTAATAACTTACTCACTGAGGTTGACCTTTCATAATACAAAACAAAAGACGCTTAATGAAATACTGAAACCAAGATAGTGTACAAAACAATAGCATACCATTCTATTAATACAGTTGTCAGACGGATTGGTTGTCTGTTCCTACTCTATTCGGGCACGCCAATACCTCATAGAGACGCGTGCGCATCGCGTTAGTGCAATGTTATTATGCGCACAGATGTCTTTGATTATTTTGTACAATAGTGTTTCTTCATACTGACACAGAGTATTAATAAACAAACAAATGTCAAATGTAAATATGTGCGATAAAATATGTACCTCGTGAATTATTTCAGTATGAAGACAATTGGTTGGGCAGGTTTAAGTTTTAAATAGTTATAGTTTTAGCAACACCTCCCCAGTTAAGTCAGATACTTATCATATCGATATAGAATTTCTTTAGAGAGTATATAAAGAGTATATAAAACGCATACACATATTACAGAGTATAATAGGTTGTCATATAATATCAAAACAATCCTAAATAAACGTGGATGTAGAATTTTGATCTACATCCATCATTATTTATGTTAATAAAAGCAGAATTAAAATTGAACAGAAAATATAAATTATGCAAAACGATATAATATAATAATCTTGATTTATAGGATCATATAAAGTGATACAATTGTTAACCGCTTGTCACCAGCGAGCTGTACTCTTGTTCCCACTGCATTTGTTATTTAAAAAAAAGAAATCATTCCTTCAACAGCCGTCACACCTTTCCTTCACACGTAGACTTACAGACATATCAAAACACAGAGCACGTACAAAGCACCGCTCAAAGAGGATGCATGACGTATTTCACAGCCGCAACCTCGTTCGGTATTCCATTAAGACGACACGGTGTTCTCGTGTCGTGTTCAATTCAAACGGCGCGATTTTTTTTTTACCGTAACTTAATAACGTGTAATTTATTATATCCCGTATGCTTGTCTAATCTATTGATCTGATTGGAATAAAAAATGCATCTAACGTGTTGACATTTTCGACAAAGACTTTCGTAGGGACTGGTGAAATAAACAAATGATGGCAAAGAGTGAACAGTGGCAGTATAGAAATTATTGAAATGAAATGAAATGAAATGAAATGAAATGAAATGATGATGAAATGAAATGATGATGAAATTAAATGAAATGAAATGAATTTTCAGATACCCAGTGTCGCTCTCATAAGTAAAAGAATCTAACGAGACCTTAAACGCCAAACTCCATCAAGCTGTGTAGACTACAAAGCGTGCCAAAGAAATATTCTAAAAGACACTCAAAAAAAAAATAACTCCACCTGGAGCAGTCGGTTAAAAATATTGTTAAATTAGTTATGGTTTACTATCGGTCATTCGCGTTAAGAAAACAGTAATGCATCAGTCAAGTTTAGAACCCGATTGGTCAGGGTGCGCGGTGCTTGATCAATGCGTTACTACTGTGTCACTTTTTAAACGCAAATGGACTATAGTTAAAAGAATTCTAAGTAGAATCATAGCAGGTTAAATATAACAGGTTTTTAAAGTCGAGAATTTTTCTACAAAGAACTGTCAGATGAGTTTTTTACATTTTAATGTACAAGTACACTAAAAATAACAACCTCCTTGTTTGAATCAAGTTAACAAACCACAAAATAACAGACGATTCCGACAATCGTTTGATTTCATATCTTTTCGTAACTAATCAAACTAAATTGTTTCTACTTTTTCCCATTGACACAATGACTGTGGCAAAAAGATTATATGTGATATGAGCAGCTAACGGCGTTAACGGACACCCAGGTAGCCGGGGTGACCTTGTCTATATAATTAAATAGAATTACGTGTATGCAAAGGTGTTATTTCAATTAGAATTGTAAATTGATGGTATCATTCATTAAGTAATTGAACATTTTATAATGGAGTAGTTGGTGTAAGGCAGTTTTAGTATAGTTTGCGGTTTATTTAAATCATTATCTACATATTTAAATCTTGAAGGTAAAGTTTAGACATTTCAGGTTAGGATAAAAAGAAGTTTGTAATCTCACCTCGTCTAGTCTCGTCAGACTCTTAGAAATTTCTTAAGTTATTAGTTACTGTATCACTGCGGGGCGGCATTATTGCATTGGACTGTAACAGCACAGGCCGTGGGATCGCTAAGATTTACTTATAATTTTAAAGTTTATTCTTGTAAAAGAATCTGAAAATTTAAGAAAAGGATTAGTTTGTGAAATGATTAAAATATTGAGTTATTAATATTAAAGGAAAGGTGGAGTGACGCTCTGCGCAAGATGGCTGACAAGAGCTGGATGCAAGAAGCCGAAAATCGATCTACGTGGCGTGCAATGGGAAAGGCCTATGTTCGGCGATAGGCTGATGATGATGATGAATGATGATTAAAAAGATTCTTATCGACAACCTGATGATCCCTACTAATATCATAAATACGAACTTTGTCTGCTGTTACGCTTCCGCCTTAAAATCGGTTCAGTGGTTTAGACGGCTAAACCAACTTTAATGAAATTTTCTCGAAGATACTTTGATTGAAGAAAGACATACTTTTTATCGCGATAGCCGAAATACCCGCAGATGGAGTCATGGGCAAAAGCTGGTAAATTATATAAAGATTATGTTACTACGTGACCTGTTCGTTGCTGTTCTCAACACAAATAACGATGTCTGAAGATGACCAATAAAATCAAATTAAAATTAATAATAAATAATTATTCCATTAACACATCGTATTCGAGAGTCCACTTGTTCAAATAACCTTCTCTCGCAATAAGATGCAGATGGCATATCTTTTCATTTTCAATTAAACAATTTTCAATGATTCGTTGCATACATTATTGTAATTAGCTCACGATATTGTTACTATAGTTTATGAAATAATCATTATTTTTGGTTATAATTATAAATGAAAGAGTATTAATTTTAAATAACATTTTTAAACAGCTCTAGTTGTAGACTTTGGATGTTTAGCTATGCTGACCTACATTTCAAAATTCATAAAAATTGGTTCAATAGTTTAGACGTGACAGAACAATTTTGGCATTTAATACATTAGGTACAGATTGTTGGGATGTAACATCACGCTGTGACTATATTCAACTCTATTTCTTATTATTTACTCTCACTAACTCTATTCTAAATTAAACTTCTCCACTGTTATAGATAGGCGTAGAGCCTCATCTGCGTCTTCGACTTGCTGTAACCGGTGCTTAAATGGAACCATAGTATTCAAACACATAGTATTCAAAGTCCAGTATGATAGATCGATAATATTTTATTTTGTTGAGGAGATATTTTGATATTTTAAAAAATCTTTATCTATCCTATGAACATGATCCATGTTTATAAAACTCCCCAGTCTTAGAGGAATCTCGATTACTACATAAAAAAAGGACCATGAAGATCTGATTTTGGGTGATTTTTTAATACAAAAGTAATTATATTATCAAATTCAATATACTGCGGTCTGTAAGGATTCTCATCTTATTCAAAACTAGTCTGCCTATCTGTAATATTATTAATTAGAAAATATCGGCGTTAAGTAATAACAAGACAATTCAGTTGTTCCTTAATATTCTATTGTTACGATTGCTTTTTAAATAATTGTAAAAGTCGGTAGTCATTTAGTTTTATTAAACTTTTCTGTATAAGATTCATAACATGAATACTCTACGCTAAAGTTATTCGCTTACGTACAATATTTTTTTTTTAAATTATATCTACTTATGACACTTCAGTATTCATAAAATTGGATTATCTTTCGCATAGTAGTCTACAATGTTTACTGAAAATGCAATGGCGTTGCAATTGAAAAAGTTATAATGTGTAGTCAGCAGGACGGCCCTCATTAGCTGCTGACAGACGGCTAAAGGGGGGGGGTGGAGGATGAAAAGTGGGACGGGGGAGAAGTTAAGTGACACAACACCACGAGGAATGACTGATCGACCGTCAGAGCCGGCGCCCGCGCACCTCACGGCTCACTATCGGTCGCTATTACGTGCGTTGTCAGTTGTGTCTCAGCCGCGGTTCAATGCAGACGTTGTTCGAGTCATGTGATTGTGAATGTGTTGTGTGGTGTTAAGGATGCGTGGTGAGGCCGGCGGCGCGCGAGGCAAGGCGGGCGGCGTCAGGGGTGGTAGCAACTATCCGCCCATCAGCGCCGCCTACTGGTTGCCGCCGTCAAACCCTACCCCCTACCATGTGCCAGGTTCGGAGTTCCCCTCATTCATTCAGTGATGAGTAATATGATCGCTGTAGACATAAATCTGTGGTTAATTCTTGTGTGACCTTGAAGCGTTTATGAATGGTGAAGCATTATTGCAGCGTACTGTTTCGTTTTTTTTCTACCGTCTGCAGTTTTTTCGTCGAATCATCCGATTCGAAACGGAAAGCGGGACTGACATTGACCGATATGCGAACTGAAAAACAATACGTCTCCACTGATGTTATTACAAGTCTGTGGAAATTGAGTGACATTTGTTTTCCTTAATTTCCTTTTTTTCTGTTTGAGAATTACTCGCGTTTGTCTAAATAACTTTGATTTTTATTTTAAAACATTTTACACACAGTTTTTCTTTTTGTTTTTTTCTAGAGAATGTATTATGCGGATCGATTGGCAATTCTTTAATTTTTAATTGTCATGGTATTTCCCAGTGAGTTGTAAAGTGCGATAGATCCAAACTGTGATTCACATTCTTGGCGCAAATTAATTCAAACGTTTCAATGGATTTAAAAAGAAAGTCTTGAAACAATTCGTGTGCTACATTACTAATCGATAAAGTCAAGTGCAATCTTAGAAATTCATTGCTCAATCTAACAGAAATAAATATAAAAAGTCCATTCAATGTAAATGTCGAAATTGTATTCCACCTAAATACTGGCTACACCTTTGTGACTTGTGTTCATGGGCGGCGGTTGTCAATTACCATTAGGTGACCCTACCGCTAGTTTGCCCCCTAATTCGTCAAAAAAATATATAGATGGGACTCCCGCATATACGAGTAAAAGAAACAGAAATATACTACAGCGCCATCTAACGAAGACACACCAAACTACGGAGTAACTCCTGAATGAGAATTGCTAATCCTGTATCGCGTTATGAAGAATTCTCTCGCCGATTAGCATATATACAACTTCCCAAATTCAACCATTGGGTCGCAGCCCGCCAGGCATGATCACCACCTCCACTGATGTTCCTTTTAAGAATGGTCATAATATCCTTCTAAATTTACATATTTCTATTGCATGGGATAAAACAAAATTAGGGAAAACACCCCCTTTATGATCAATATTCAAGATTTATCGATTTATCATTTTCTCAATAATTTAATGGAAGTTTTGAGGTTCGACTGTACCTGCTAAGTATAACTATAGCAGGTACAGTCGAACCTCAAAACTTGTAATAAATAGACAGTAAAAAGGCAATACATGTCGTTTTTAGTAATACTAAAGCAGTATACAAAACTGAAGGATAAATTTAGTGCTATATTAAACGTCTTTCCTTGTTTTATATTATCCTCATCGTAGAACTACACATAAGTTTGACATGTACCCATTAATTAGTTGGCTCAAATGTTTAATTTTAACTCTTCAGCCGTTGTTCGGCAACTGTTCCTGGTGACAATCGAGACGCGGATGATGGATTAGAAGTTTCAACGGCTCTCCACTGGGTGTCCATCTTGTATTATAGTCTCATTTTAAATGAGACACGTTTAAAATTATCGTGAATTAAGAGCTCATTTTCCATGTGCTCTTTAAAAAAAACGATTACATTGCTAGGTATATATTTTAATAATTTATTTAGAAAATGTATATTTCAGCGACAGTTAACTGTTGTCTAGTAAAATTTTCAAATATTGGCACTACAAAAGAATACGTAACTCGCGAGTTTCGCGTTTCATCATAAATACTTAATAGTTGTACAGGAATTAACAACAATAGGTTACAGTATCCCTGATCGAAACATCAGGCAATTCCGAGTTATGGTTAACTATTGTTAATTCGTGAACTAATTATTAAAAGAGCATCTCTCACTCTAAATATGGTTTATCACAGAGTTTATTTTTTATTGTTACTTAATATGATGCAAGATAAACACTACATAATACATATATAAATTCCCTTCCCTTATTATCGTAAGGTAGACTAAAAAATGGGTAACTGATTCATTACGCATAGAGAATAACTATTTAAAAATAGAAACAAAACTAATTTCAATGTCTGTATTTCTGTAGTACCGTATACTGGAGAATGATTTATAGATATAACGATAGTTAGAGATCATAAATGTCAATCGATTATAAAGAGACTCGATATTGCGACGTTATCCATGTAATCTTAATCGCAGAGCGAGCAGAGATTTAAGAAACGGACATTAATTGCTTTGCCTCCTTATATGCATTTACAATATATTATACACATAGCATCAAGATAAAATATAGTATAGTAGTTGCATACCTACTGTAAAAATAATTAAGTCCAATTATTGTATAATTGAAATTAATATTTAGTCTGACTTTTCCTCAGCTGCAGAGCCGAATATGTTTATGCCAATATTATACTTCCTCTCATAGATATTTTTACCACAAAACTGTTGTTGACACTACGTTGTTTTTATTAAACACTATTAGTTTATGGTGCGCACGCTAATATACTGGCACTCGCAATGATTTTCCCGACCTACAACATATTTAAACAAATTTATACAAAACCTTTCTAAATTGTGCAGCTAAATTCTCCTCATAAATCACTCTTCACATTAGTAAAAACCACATCGAAATCAGTTTGGTACCTTTCGAGCACATCGCGGTCAGACAGACGGACGCGGCGGGGGATTTTATTATAAAATATCTAGTGGTGTGCGTAATCTAAAACTAAGCTAAACCAGTGAAAACATATTAAGAAACTTTCAATTATAATTTCAGTCTACGTCAACTTTGATTTTCCAACGTTGACAGAATAAAGCTAAGAGAGATGGAATGAATGAGTTAATCCATTATGTTCCAAGACGTTTAGTTCTTGGCCGTTCCCAGCAGTTAAAGCTGCTATGACTCTTAAGAGAGGAGTAGTTACTCTACTCCTCTATAGTATAATGTTATAGAGCCTGTAACCTTTCTCAAAAAATACAGAATTCAATAGAAGACATCGAGAGAGATCTCCAGAGATGAGCGTTTACAAACAGAGTTTAAAATAAACTTTTTATAACCGTATTAATAATTTTATAATCTTTCTAAAAAATACTAGTTTCTGTATGTATACTTTATTAACGAGCTGCTATATGAACAGTTAAGATACCACAATGTTATTAATATCTAACCTCTATTTTGTAACCTTATTGGCATACATAACAATACATGTTAGTTAACATTTGTCAACACATTAGTGTAGGTAGGTATATTGAGCATGTGAGAACTGTGCCGTACTATTTTTTAATGTTGCATTTGTATACTGTTGGCGAGTCTATAATAAACAAATTAAAAAATTACACCTACGATATGACACCTTTGAAATCAGTAAAAAAACACCAATTGTCAATTTTTCATTAAAGACACCAATGATGAGTACTGTACAAATAATCGATTGACATGTTCAGGAGAAGACGATCCCAGTGATTGCTTGTATTATTATAGCAACATTTCTTTACTATAGCTGAATAATATAGGCTATAACTGGCTATAACTAGCTGTACGTTGCCACGCTTTGCTATAGCACATTGTGGTTACAAAAATTGATAAAAACCATCGTTGAAGCGTGTTGTATATCTTGTCAAAATTCCATCTCAATCGGTGTAAAACTTTTAAAGTTTTTAAAGCGCATGCAAACCAATTTAACATTTTATATATATATTATAGATTAAATGAATAAATGTAAATTTCAGCAAATCCACGATGGGCACAGCTTATACTATAAAGACACAAACACGTATTTTTTTCATCAGAAAACTATTCTGCTAATTTAGTACTCCACTTGAACGACGAAAAATAAACTAAAATTAGATTATAATGAACATTGTCGCGTTGATTGATTAGGTCAAATGGAGTACACAATATGACATCATTAATATAGATCATCATCACTGACCACCTGAAGGTCTGGAACCATGTCTACAGACAGCGGCTTCGAATCTTATCCAGTAGGAATACCCCAAATGGGATATACGATGGCGTCAAATCGCTTGCAATCGTAATGAGCCGAACGAACTTTACGAATCAATAAATAAATTTATAAGTTATAGTAGTCGTAACAACGTGATATATTGATAATGTATACGAACACATTAATATTTTAAGGACTACAATATACTGCAACATAATGTATCCGCAATAAAGCCCGTTTAGACTACCGTCCTAAGCGTTCGTTGCCATGAAATGAAATATATATATATATATATATGTGTATATCTATTTTTATATTTCGCCAAGAGCTGTAGTATTAGCTACGTTTAGACTTATCCGTTGTACGAGATTTGCAAGCAATTTATCGACTGCTGTAACTATCCTGAAATTAATGGCAACTCCAAGTAAACATTGCTTATCAGTTCTCCAACAGTATCACACATGATATTTTTTCAAGATTTTACGAGTACTACGTACCTATGGTACAAATAGATGTGAACCACTACCCCATTTCGCTTTTCTATATCCTTCTTAAATTTCAAAACGATTGAGATTTAAACCTCCCTATTATATGTCTTTGTCCTCCAGTTGCATAATAATCCAAGACACAAAGTTTAAGATGCTTGATAAACTTGACTGCACGGATGGCGTAGTGGTTTAAGCGGTCGCCACGCCGCTTCCTACTACGCCGAGTGTTGTGGGTTCAAACCCCACATGGGACGACACTTTGTGTGATCCAAAAGTTGTTGTTCCAAGTCTGGGTGTTATTTGTGTCCGTTTCATGTATTTTTGTAAAGTCCCCCGCGACACAGGATATTTTCCTAATGCGGGCGTTGTCTTTTTAAAAATAAAATAAAAAAAAATAAAAAAAATAAACAATTACCGGATATACGGCGTAGCAGCCTCAAAGTAGACCGAATATTCCGTATTTGGTATCCGACAAAACAGCTGTTAATTTCATCTCTACTGTAAACAATGCATAGTCAGCATAATAAAACATATTTCTTTAGTAACACACGTTTTGTGTCATTATTTAATTATTGCTTGGTAGTTAATTATTATTGCTAAAATCACAAATGCATTCAATAAAAAAGTGATTGATTAAAAAAAAATGTGAAACGT